ATTTCTCTTATGAATAATTAATTTAGTTGATTAGACAGCGCACATCGATTAAATTTGATTTTCTCTGCTATTTGCTAACTTGCTAAGTATAATTATGACACAGAGAAGAAAAAAAACTGATTTCACGTGTAATAGCATTGGATTCTAATATATTAATTGGCATTATTTTCTCTTTATCAATCACATCCTTATATATTAATTGATTTACTAAAAATATATTATTATTATTTGTCTAAATTCAGATTTTAAAATTCGATTTAGTAAATCAATTACTAACTCGAATTTTAATAAATATTAAATTAAGTCATTTTTATTAACTAATGTTCACAAAAATACCAGCTAATTTATATTAACGTTGATCACTCACAATTAATTGAGTAATAAATTAATTACTTTAAATCGTTAGATACAATAAACGATGCGATTTGACTAAGAGAGGGGTTGGGAAGAAAATTAGTAAAAGATTATTGTTTTTTCTTTGAAAATAAGAGACCAATTGTTTTATTAGGTATAAAAATCCTTTATAAAGATCCGTTCAAACCCTTATCAGATAAGGTTTCGCAGAATGACCCTGTGAATTACGCTCGAGAGAGACAGAGATTATCTCTTCCTTTTTTTTAATTATAGAATATAACTTCACTTTTTTAAAACACAGATCACAACAAACGCTAAGTTGAATTAACTAATCTATGGTAATTTATTATTATTATTATTTTTAACAAGAAACACACAAGTTTTTTATACCTCATCCCTTGCGTCACATGCTTCGTAACTATGAAATTATCATTAGCACATTTTTTAACATATCTTTTATAGGACGGTTTTTGTATTAACTCGTTAAATAGTTCAAATTCATCCATATATACTTCACTAACAAATCTTCAATTTATTTTATTTTATAACTCTTTATAATCATGAAATTTATATATAATAACAAATATAATATTGTATAATTAAATAATTAAAAAGATGGCTGCTAAAACAAGCACAAGTGTTATTGGATGGAAGCAACATGATATGGTGCATGATTGATTAAAATAGTGTATAGAAAGAGATAAGGTAGGTCTGGTAGAGGCTAGGGCAACCACTAGTCACTCACATTGACCCATTTTCTTCCCATCCTATTGATTTCATTGCAGTGTTTTTAACCTTTTTCATTATAAAATTCCATTGTTTTGGAATATCTGTCTGCCAATAAGCCAAAGTCCACCAAAATCAATCTGCGATATTTATAGCCATTTTCATTTTAATCAACGAGGCCTTATATTACTCTCTATTTTCATTGCTTGCTCAAATCAAACACCCAAATGTTTATTTTATCTTTTTCTCCATTTCCCCATTTCCACACTCATTCCCATGTAAGAAAGTTCATTTAATAATGGGATTCTAACCAACAAGTAGGGACATTAACAACTGGAAAACTCGTATTAAATCCATGCACCGTACATTCTTATTGGTGTCATCTATTCAGCACATTGTTATCTGTGGGCTGTGCCTTTTCCTTATCAGGTTTCAATTATATAATTTCGATTAAGTTCAAATTCCAGGAAATCTCATATCAATTGCTATTGTCGAAAGTTTAAATACTCTAAGAAAATTAATATAAATTCTTCAATATGTGTAATTAAATTTATAAATAACATAACGAGCAAATACAATGTTTTAATTTAAATTTAATGATAAATAATTTTTAAATTTAAATTAATTAAATCTATAAAATATACATGAAGGAATTCCTCGTATATTAAACTTTATTTGCTATCGGGCCAGTGAGTTGCTCTCTCAAAGATTCAAAAAATAAATAAAGCAAGTTACATGGAGCAGGCAGCTTACAAATAATTTAAAAAGTAAAAAATATAATAGCATAAAAAAATTACACTAAAAAATAAAGTTAAACTAAATAAATATATTTTGATACTTTTTTAGTTAATAACCTCGCGAGTCAACTCGCTCCACTAGTCATTCTTAATCTATATTTTATTTATAATTTTTTTTCCTGGATGATATATTAAAAGAGGGAAAGGTCTTTAAAATATATTGATATGTGTAAAACTCACAAAATATAAAATGCATGCGCCTTTTTTCTTTTGATAAAAAAAAATCTAATAAATATAAACAAAAAATATTCTTTCACATTTTACTGAACTAAAATTGGCAAATTGAACAAACCAAAAGATAAAGTCAAGTTGATTTTATCACTCTAAATTTTAATCTACCAATGAACTAGCCAGTTTATACTTGGAAAAGGAAAAAGTCAACCAAATTGCTCATCTTTGCAAATTAGTTGACTTTTTCCAACAATTTAGTCTTTTAAGATTATCATTTTCTAAATTCATAGATTAATTTTCTATGAAAACATAAAAACAATAGAAATAGGTTTGCAGGATTTCATATATATATATATATATATATATGCAGGATACATACTGTACTTTGCAGGATTTCATATAATGAAAAATATTTGAGTCAGCAAATTATTCAAATTTATTAATATTTTTTACTCTTAATTATATAAATTAATCCAAAATAATGGCGTTTTTATCTTATGTAAACAGATGCTGGCAGGTAGGGTTTCTCAGGGTTACAATTAACAATAATAAAGTAGCTTAAATGACAACTAGATTCAACTTACTTAAGGATTCAAATCATAAAATAACATTAAGACTTCAGTAATTTATTTAATAGTCACCGAAGCTTTTTCTCCGCCATAAATTGTTAATTGTTAATGGTTAATATCTTACAACTTTTATTCAAAACAATTAAATAAACACCCCAAATCATTCTTATCCAAACTATCCAAAATAGTTAAAAGCAAAACAATACTGGAGATATTTGTATTTCTAAAGTAGTAAAAGTATATTATTTATAATTAAAATATATTAACATAATTAATGAAATTAATTAATTAAATTTCATATATTACTAAAAATATTTGACCTATTTTAATAATATTTTTAATTTTAACTTTAGTGATATTGATTGTAAGTGTTTAGAAATTTAAAATTTTATTTTAAAAATTAACAAAAGTTAGTTTAAATGACAAGCAGCTTAGTATTACTTAAATAGGATTTTAAGTTTGAATTTTTGTGTATTAAAATTTTTTTAAACATTTAAGTACGCGATTTGAGTTAGATTCGGATTCAATCAGATTTTAAACTAAAAATAATAATATTAATTATCTTTTAAATATAATAAATATATTTTCTCTTAATAAATATTTTTTTATTTTAGTTACTTAACTTTAGTAAATTTAAGTTAACATAATTTTTATTTTAATAGCGTTTATAAATTGTAGATTAACAGTAATTTTATCAAAGTGAAAAATAAAATAGCTTCTAACTTGTCTAGTTAGTTTAAAAGTGTATTTGTTTAAGATGAAGAAAAGTATTTTAATAGCTATCAACATTTTATACAATTCTTAAAATGCTACAATCGAATGTTTGAGTTTCAAAACACTTAGCTCCTCTTTAATTTCACAAAACCTTAGAAACATTCTCTTTCTATCACATATTTTTATTATCCTTTGTAATATAAGATTATCATAATTGGTTTTTTATTTATTTAGAATTATACATAATTATCAACTTCCAAGATAAGGATAACTAACTAAATACGACTTTTTTATATCTTTTAATTAGTTTAATTACTAATCTTATTAAATACTATTAATTAAGAGTATGTTTATTTGCATTTTTAAAATAAAAAAATAAATATAAATCATTCAAGTTGTTAGTTTTGAACTTCGAGCTAACTTAAATTTTTTATTTATAATTAATTCATTAGTTTGCCAAGCATACATTAACTTGTTTATCTGAATAAAAAAATATGAAAAAAAAACTTTAATTATTCCAGAATAATAAAAAAAAAGGCGATTCAAATGAGTCGAAAGAAGCCAATAAAAAAATCTTAAAATTAATGAATGATTTATAAAAAAAATATTATAATATTTGAAGTTAGTCTTTGCTTAAAATAAAAAAAATATTATTTTATTGATTATAAAGAAGTTTAGAAATAAATTTTCATAAAAAGATAATCATGAAAAATAAATACTTTTAAAATTTTGCAAAATTACTGAAGAATATTACTTTTTCTAAAAGAAATTCATTACAAAATTGAATGGAGAAAATTAACGGATCATTTGACCGTAAGTTTAAATAGGCCAACATAAGTCGAGTAAAGAACGTTAAAATGAATAAATAAAAATTTAATTAGAAATTATCAAAGCACAATAATCAAACAATATTTTGTGTTCTTTATTATTATAGTCTCAATCTTTCTATTAACTCTCCTACCAACTACAACATCAAAGTATTTATTCTGATTTCATCCCTATCCTCGCTTGAGCTGCAAGATATACATCTTATCCAAAATAGTTAGAAAGATACCTACTTGCATAATGATTATCGACATTTATTGCAATCTAGTGTTACGAAGAAACCCAAGTTGAATTGTTGAACTTATTTCTTAGATTGTAAATATAAAACTCATAACAAAAGAGTGAAAATTCATACGTTATGACGAGCGCATATTCCATGCAATTGTTAAAATATTAAAGTAAATGCGGTTTCAGGTTTCAACATTCAAAATTATTCTATTACTATATTTGAAAATTTATATCTTATGAAAATCAAAACTAATAAGCAAACTTAAAAATCTTGATGTGAATGAAAATCAGATATAGAAATTAACAAAAGAAAAACGTGAAGGATGATTTTCTTCTGGTTCTGGAATCATTCGTTATACAGAAATTATTATTCTCCTCAGAATTAACGAAACAAAATCATTCAAACAAAATATCCGAAATTGAAATTCCTAAATAAGGAAGCATGCGCTTGGTCTGATCTAATAAAAGGAAACATGAGAGGATAAGTATCAGACACCCATGATGAATTACATTAAACACATTTTCTGGTCTCTGTCCTTGCCACGTCATCACGAACGTGTCAAACCCTTCTCTCTCACCCTTCACTCCTTCATTTTCATTTTTTATATATAATCTTTCTCACTTCATTTTTCTTGGGTCTTATCTCTACACTCTCTCTCTCCGTGCTCGTTCTTCCATCTTCCTCTGCTTAAATTGATGAACAAAGGGTCGTCGTTTTTAATTGATCTTTTGGTACAGTGAGAGATTGAGAACGTTATTCACTATCAGTGACTGTAACTTTCGGAGTGTGGAGATTGATGACAAGCAACCCCATTACGTGGAAGCCCAAGAGGAGGAGAAGACGAAGAGGACAAGGGTAACCGAATCACTCTTCTTTCGTTTTTCGTTGCCACTTTTAGAAGCAGGAGAAGGAGGGAAAAAAATGGAGCTTTTGATGGGTCCCACTTTCACCATCGACGTTCCGTCGTCTCCGCCGCCGCCCGGCGAAGCCAACCAACGGATCTTCTTGAACGGAGTGACGGAAGGTGACGGGTCGAACTTCCGGATCTCGGGGCCACCCAAGTTTTTCGCCGGCGGCGAGTCAGAGTCGGAGAGTTCGTCGTCGATCGGAACCCCCGATGAGAGTGATAACGACGAGGAGGAGGAGGAAGAGGAAGTTCAAAGCAAGTTGAAGGGACGCTCCGGGTTGGGTTCTTTGGATGCTTTGGAGGATTCTCTTCCCATCAAGTCAGTTCCTTTATTTTTGTACAATTTTATTTATTTGATCATCGTAATCATCGAATGTTTTTAGATCCTTTCCATCTTGGGTTGGGTTGGTTAAAACTTGAAATAAAAAAACAAATTGCTTTCACCAACCATTTGGGGTTTTGAAAGAACATAATTTTCATTTATTTCATGTAATAATTGGTTTCTTTGTTTTGTTGTTTTTTTTTCAAGTTTGATTATGATTTCGGCATCTGATATGAATGGGGTGTTTTGGAATTTTTGGTAAGCGATGCAGGAGGGGATTGTCGAGCCATTTTGATGGGAAATCAAAATCGTTCACAGATCTATCTCAAGTCAGCACCTTGAAGGAATTGCAAAAGCAAGAGAGTCCTTTCAACAAGAGAAGAAGGGTTTTGATTGCATCAAAGTGGTCCAGAAAATCAGCTTTTTATTCGTGGTCAAACCCAAAATCCATGCCTCTTTTACCTGTGAACGAGGATCAAGATGATGATTACGAAGAAGAGGAAGAAGAAAAAGCCAGAAAAGTACCCTCTGCTTCTTCTTCCTCTTCTTCCTCCTTGGCTGAGGACAAGAAACAAGAAGATCAAGTTCACCTGTGCCGTAAAAGATTACCTGAATCTTATGCTGCCGAGATGAGGCTTAGACTCGGAAGCTTCAAGTCTAGGAGCTTCTCTCTTGCAGATCTACAAGAACACGATGATGAAGAAGAAGATGATGATTAATTAACATTTAACATAGGGGGTTTTTGTTTTTATTCTTTTTGTTATTGCTGCTGTTACTAAATAAAATTATTAGAAATTAAAAATCTTACGTTTCTCTTTTTTACTTTTCGGTTAAATCTTAAAAAAAAAAAAAAAGAATTTTGTTAAAGGATATACTGTGCATATCCGGTGGGTCTAGGAAAGTAAGTAATGAAAGCTTGGTAGTTCATATAATGACAGGAGCTCCGAGCTTTACTTTTCTTCTGATGGTGTTTGTTTGTATGCTAATATAAAGTGGATATGGATATTGGGACACATTCACATTCCACATGAAGGAAAGGATAAACATCCAAAATTGGGTGAACAATATTATACGTATAATGTCAAGTCTTTCTTATATATTTTTTTTGGAAATTAGATAGGTGGCGAATGGTCATGAAAGCAGGGTCACTTGGTGAGTGTATTTAGAGCGTATCTTTAACAAATCTTATCATATCCTTTAAATTATCAATACATCTCCTGAAAAAGAAAGACATATTCAAATTTTTGTCTTTATTAAATTATTGTGACTTGCAGGTGGTGTCCCCGGTGTCTGTTCTTGAATAAGAATTGAGTTTGTAGAGTTTGATCAACACAGGTAGGCTTTGCCATTTTGGTTCCTTGGTGTTAGCTAGCTAACTTCATTTCGTCGTTTATTGGCTAAGCGGATAACATGGTTCAACCTCACTTTTCAAGTCTGGTGACAGATTTGTTATACGATCCATTCGAATTTCTGCCTTGGATATATGGCTGGGAAGTGTGGACCCCTTCTATTATCTCCGATAATTACTGCAAGTGAAGTGAACATTGGATTCCAACTCACTTTTTTCTCTAAATGTATGTCTAAAGTAATCTTTAGATTAAAATAACAAATATTTTTGGTGGCTAGGCGATTACACCTAAAATTAGTGCCGTATTAACTCCCATTTTTAAAATTTGTCAACAAGCACGGTAGCCAACGATAATCTCAGAATTTAATATTTTATAAATTTTAAAACTCGTGTTATGGATTATGTGGGAGATCAAAATGGAGAAAAAGATGCGCGGAATCAAGGGGACGAACGAGTCAAGGTTCTCACCCTCTTTTTCATTGCGGTAACATTTTCAGTTGGAATTAAATTTTAGATTCTCTTACCGAATTTTTATACTGTCTATTTATAAATTAACGAGCAGAAAATGCAAAGAATAAGAACAGAATAAAAAAAGAAGAAGAAGGATCCTAGATAAATATTAAGAAAAAGCTGCGAAAAAGCTGACGTTTCAATGTAATCTTAAAAATTAGTTAATTTATTTCTTCCGAATAAGAGTACAGGGCTAGTTTGTGCAAAATCATTATATCAATTTTTTTAAGACGTAATGTACGTTTAATATAAAAATTTGACACTAAAGTGATTATAAAAATGTATCTTGATTATATTTTGTGATTTAAAATATAATCTTAACCAAGTGTAATTGGAAAGAATGAGTTGAATTTGGTGGCGATAAAGTGGGAGTAAAAAAAAAAAAGAAAAAAAGGAAAGAGTGGAAGGTGGTGAGTGTTTGAAGATTCCCATGTGTTGATGATAAAACGGATAAGACTTTGACAAGATGTTGGTGGAGGGGATGCATCTCGTTAGTCAGCCTAGTTGCCGCTGCAAGCCTCCAATATCATTTGTCACTCCCAACAAACACCATTTTTATTTTCTCACATTTTATAATAAAGTAGATTTACCCAATTATATCATCCCCCATATTTTCTCTTTGGGTTGAAAAGAAATTGCCGTATTTATTATATCAGAATATTATTGGTCTCTTTGTACCATTTTTCATAACAAATTACGTTTCAATGCTCCCCTCTGTTACAGGTACCCATTCTGTCATTTTGCTGCTTTTTAGTACAGTAACAAAATTAATTCCCTCACCCATCTATTTGTTTATCAATAACATTAACAGATACCGTAGTTATTTAACAAAATTGCATTTTTCTTTTTGGTGGGATCACATAAATATAAAATTTTATAACTTTTATTTTAAGAAAAAAAAAAGAAAAACTGAATATTTTATATTATTATTTTTATTTAACAAAAGAAAAAATCTTCTTCTCTTCATTTCTCTGTTCACCTAAATTGGCAATCTTGTCAAGAGTGATAGAACATTAATGTTAAGTTGAACATGTAAGAACGAAAACATTTTGGGGCTAGACTATTTCTTAATGAACTTAGGTGTTTTTGTCACGCTCGTGGGCCTTAACAGGTTACCCAACTTCGCTCATTTTTAAATTCTGGAGCATTAAATGTCACACATCATGTGAATTCTGGAAGTTAAAAAAGGAGAAAAATAAAAATCTAAACAAAACTACATCCAATCTAATAATTTGATCAACTTGGATTTATTTGACCGAACCCAACTCGTGTTTATCCTTGATATTTCAAATAATTGTCTATCATCATTAGCAAATGCATAGTTATTGAAAAGAATTTTAAACAAGTTGAATGAATGGTTATCCGCTGCATTATTTTCAGCATTAACACAAAACGATACTAGAATTTGAATACTCAACGAACCCATTCAAATCATGCGTAAAATATGTGGAAAAAGGATTGAATTCCAGGAGTACAAGACACGGAAATTTTCTAATAAGAGCACATATTGGTTCGCTCGTCAAATTGATTAGGTTGAAAGAAAGTTGCAGGTTAGCTAGTTTTCTAGTCAAACCTTCTTGGAATGCACGACATTTACTATTTATATATTCTACAATCTTTTTATTACAATCGAATTAACATTTAAATATCCATACAAAACTTTGTATATTCCAAACAGTTTTTTCATATTAAAATTAAGAAGTTAATATATTTTATATTAAGATTACATAAAAAATAAAAAAAAACACACACACACACATATTTTATGGATCTTGTAAAATATTATTTTTCTATCTTAATAAATTATATGGTAAATATAGATGACTAAGAACAAAACATTAGAAAAAAAAATTAAAAGAAAATGCATTGCAATAACTGAACAAAAGAAGTATTTAAAAAACATTTTCGTAAAATTATGGAATTGGACTGCAACCACTTAAAAAAAACGTCCACGTGTGAATTTATCAATGGCTTGCACCGTGCCATTTCGTCTCTCGAGTCTCTCCGGTTCTAATCTCGCTTTCGCAGGCACCAGAATTAGGGTTCCGCACATACATTTACCAACGGCTTCCGTTGCGAACCGGACGAGTGGACTCAGCTCTAACTCAATGAGTCAACCCGCCGCCGCCGATCCTAACGCTCTTGAGACAACGAATGACGCGCCGTTGCAGCCGGAGAACACTGATGCTGTCGTCCAGTACGTGGTGCTCCGGCGAGATCTGATCGACACGTGGCCGCTAGGGAGTGTGGTGACTCAAGGTTGCCACGCTTCTGTTTCGGCCGTTTGGTCCAATAAAGACGATCCTTTCACCGTGGATTATTGTAGCCCCGATAAAATAGATTCTATGCATAAAGTAAGGTTTTTCGGTATTCTTCTGATGAATGCAATTCAATTACAGAAACTTCATTATACATCACAATGTTCATATTCTGTGCCAATTTACAAAAAATTATAGTTTGTGAATATGTTTCTTTGTTTTTTGTGGTTGATTTTTTTAATTAAACATGTATGACATTGTATTGTATGCTTTACATATGGTTACAAAAGTTGTGTGTTTTCTACTGTTTGCTACCAACCTATACTCTCACATGTAGTGAATAAAATCCTAATCTATTGTAATGGGTATTGGTTATTAGTTATTAGTTGAATTGAAACCAGATAGAGGTGTGAATGAGAAACATAGAAGCTTGAATTTGTAATGGGATTTCACATGGAAGGAACCTTTCTTGAACTTATTTATAGGAACCGGCGCATAGTTATATTGTTAGGAATTATTAAAATGTGGTATCGAGAGGTTTTAGAAACCATGTTAAATTGTTAATGATGTCAGGGAAAGTCCATCTGAATTGATGATTCTTGGTGACATGTAGTCGGGTTATGGATGGTGCTTTTCGCCAAGAACAGATGTTCTGGATTGCTATTAGCCTATTGCAACTTGACTGAAGTAGATGTTTTTCATATATATAAGATAGATGAAGATTCGTCTTTGCACATACGGTACAAACTAAGTGGTTGTTTTCCTTTGCCTTCAAATATTTTCACTCTCTCAATTTGATTTTGAGGAGGGGGTGCAGAGAAGGATAAGAATATGATTGTATATACATATTTTACGTAAATCATGTGAACTCCAGCTATTTCTTGCTCACTCTTTATTTTTGAGGGCGATACTAAAAACCCTTTGCCTTTAGATAACAGTTTTTATTTTATGGGACATTAGTTAGCCGTGTTATCTTCGCTTCCTCTGTCTAGGTATTAAGTGTTAAATAGACAACATCCGAAAAAACCCAATTAATTAAGTGAAAATTGTGAGTATTTTGATATTACTGTATGTATATTGTTGCGTTGTTCTTTATGATGGATGGAACTTTGTTCGCATCATGGTTAAATTAGTATTTTTTGCCTGAGGGCTGCCAAATGATTGCTTTTGGAACATTTAATTTAGCATCTCCGATATATTTTAAAGTGATATTACGCTCGTCACTGTGATAATTGCGATGGGCACATTGTTTTGAGTCTATTTTGGTGCGCTCTGCCCAAAATATCAACTTTTGAATTAGCTTTTTAATTTTTAAAGCTGGGATAGTACAATATCCTGGTTGTCATTCGTGTTGTGAATTGGGATATTTTGAACATATCATGCGGGGGTGTGGGGATTAATTAGAGTTGAGAGCACAAATACGTTGCAACAGTGTGGTAATTGGTAAATATTTTACAGGATTTTATATTTCGTTCCTCAACAATTGTATATGCAATTGGCTGTTGAATGTTTCTGCATAGCAATCGGGGCTTACCTGTTGTTCCTATATATTGTGCCATTTGACATCAGTTAAATTTGAATCTATCCACTTATCTATATATATAATAGTATCTGTCTGTCTGTCCGTCTGTGCATATGTTGTTTGTAGTTCTGGGCTATGTAGATCTAATTCATTTTTTCTACCCTGGTTGATGAATTAAATTAATACTGAACTTCAACTACAGGTTACACTTGAAGTGAAGGGAGAATCCCAGATCAAAAACTTGTCTGAGAAGCTTACATCTGGTGGGATCATTCACAAACTCTGGATTGAACAACCTGAGAACATACCTACGTGCCTTGCCACAAAACCTTACCCTAAGTCAATGGTATCTTCGTATTTTAAGAAGCTGAAACTCTGTAAATGATGTCATGTATGATGTTATTTCTAATTTCTCTCTTTGCTCGTAAATGGTAGAGAAAATGCAATGAAACCTGACTGGTAATTCGGGATTTTTTAAGTCTTTGCCATCTCTCCTAAAATGCACGAAATTTTCGAAGGGAGGAAGTGACTGGAACGTGCATTATCTTAATAAAGTTTATTGTTAAATTACAAATACTCTATTAATTTAAATAAGCCGACTATCCTAAGAAAGAATTATCACATAATGTAATTGGAAACGGTGAAATATTATTTCATGATCTGAAAGTCACATCATATATTTAGCATTAAATACCTATACATGGAAACTAATGAATAAAAAAGGAAAGAAAAAAGAAAGGAGGAGGAAGATGTTTTTGGTTGGAATCGTCGATGGGGCAGGGGAGGTGGGTAGAGCGATGATGATGAGGACCTACTGGAGGATGAGTCGGCTGTTGCAGATGGTACAGTAGTACCTTCGCTTGGTCTTAACGTATAAAGGGAGGAAACAGAAATTCCAGTGGCTCTCTACATCAACAGCCTGTATCAGCCCTCCGCAGTAAGGACACGCTCCCGGTGCTGGTTGCCTCGACACCACCCTTTCATCCTCGCCGCACACAAACACTATACACATCTTCTACTCACTACGTTAAGGTAATAATCGCTCGCTATGTCTTGCTTTCTTTTATTAGAAATTTTATGAAGACGGAGAATAAAGGTGCAGAAGTAGAACCCAACCGAAGCGCGTTTTCGGAAAATTCCTTTCTACTTTTCTTCTGATCACACCTTTTCCTTCACCGCCGCCGCCACGCGTCAGCATGTGTCCATGCCTCCTGTGACGTTGAGTTAAGTACAATAATCGTCTGAAAATGCAAGTGGTTTGAAAACTATTTTAAAGCGGTCCCAACTTCTTCCCTAAGAAATCCAAGGATTAGAATCGTAACGCCGCTGGATATGGAATTTACTTTAGTGCTTGATTGGAATCCACTGGAGAAGCACACGAAAAATTTATATTTTACCAAAAAACATATTAAAATTAATTTTTTTAAAATATGTATAAATTAACATATAATATAAATTTAATATATTAATAATATATTTGTCATTATAAATGATATACTTTTAAATTAAAATTTTTTTCCAGAATTTTTTTTATGATCTATTTTTACACTTGCATAGCACCCCTTATTTAGGATATATACATATATATAAACTTCGAATGGCCTGTTAAGAAATTTAAACTTTACTTTATTAATCGAACGGCTTTAGTCCATGCTTATTTGAACTTAAAATTTGAGAATTTAAAAAATAGAAAAATATTTTGTCAATATAAAATGAACTGAATATCCGTATGCTTATTGAGCATTTGTTATCTTGACATAATTTTTTACATTTATAAGAAATAAAGACTTGTTTTTATATGTATTATTTATTAAAAAAATTACCCTCTTATTTATTAATTATTGGAATATTCACCTATTATTCATATAGGTGCATATATTTATTTATTTACTGTAAAAGTGACTAATTACTAGTTATTACTATAGATATTTTTTAAAGTATGTTATGAACTTATAATATATAAATACTTTTTTTATTAATTTTAATAAATTAAATTTTATAAAAAGTAGAGGAAATATTTAATAATGAGCTTAATTTTAGTGTATTATTAATGTAAATTTTCTGTATTATAAAATGATTAAAATACATTGTCAATATAATTTTTATATTAATTTTATAATTAACAATTCTCGCTTATATAATAATTTATGATTGGATGAAAGTATAAAAGTATTTTACGTTATCAAAATATTTAAATTAAATTCTTTAATAATATTTGTAGAATACCATAAATTATTTTACGTTCGATATATATAAGGAAAAACATACTAATAAAAATACTTACTGATTGTGAGAATGAGAATAATAAAAATATGTTATTAGATTTTATTAAAATATAATTGTATACTTTTTAAGTAATTAATAAGGTATTAGTAGGCTGATAAGAAGATGGATGAATAATCACATAGCTGTTTATTAAGTAAAAAAGCAAGAGTTTACCTAAAACAAGTATTTGAAATGAAATTGTTGTATTGTTTATCTCCCCCATTATAATAAAATAATTAGAGGAGATGAGAACATGGCCTCCACAATAATTTATAAAACACAAACACAAAGGTGTTTATGCTTTGAATTGCACCCCAATAACAGTACAGGGCCTGGGAACTAAAACCACTAAAAGAGAGTAAGCGTTCAAGCATACAACACCTGGCAACTAAATGGGGAAAAACCACGGAAAGCCTCTGCTGCCTCCACCACCTGCCACGTCACCACCACCCCATAACCCCGACCTTTCTGGTTAACAGTGACACTCCCAACCGCCACATTCAACCCCGAAGACACAACGTAGATACGATCATCCAAACCCCTCGCAGCAAATGGCCTCTGCATTTGTTCCCTCGGAAACCTGTCTCCTCCCACACACCGCCACGTGTCACTATCCTCGTCGTACACCTTCACGGGGCAATCCCCATACTCCGCAATCACCAACACCCTTCCCATAACCGCCACTCCCACCCCCGTCCACCCATCCCTCATTCCCACCCCCATCTCTCGCCACGTGTCCCTCTCCACCTCGTACGACCACCCCCTCGGTCGAAACGTGAACGGCCACCACCACCCCTCCGTCACCAACATCCTCCCCCCTACCACCGTGGCCTCGCACCGACCCAGCTCCCCTTCCAACCCCTTTCCTCTCCTCCACGTGTCGCTCTCCGCATCGTAGATATCCGTCCCGCTCCTCCCTACGCCCACGATCTTCCCGTTCACACTCTCCGCCGCCAAGAACGACCTCCCCCCCGGCATCGCCGACGCTTCCGACCACTGGTTCGTGGCGGCGCGGTAGACCAGCGCCGTCCGCATTGGCGCCTCCGCGTCGGAGTTCATCCCCGCCATGACGAAGAGCTTCCCCTGCTTCGGCAGCGACGCGCACGCGAACGCCGTGGGGCACACGCCCTCCGGCAAGGGCATTTGCGGCAGAACGAACCAACGCTTGGAAGATGGGTCCAGCGCCTGCCATTGGATCCTCGATGTTTGTCTGTGGAATGCCAAGACAAAGAGATGTGGGTTGGAGAGCGTGTTCTTGGAGACGACAAAAGAAGGGTGCGTTATTGCTCTGTTCCACGACGAAGAAACAGAGCGTGCCAAAGCCTGGTAAGGGTAGGGCACGTGAAGAAGACACAGCTCTGCGATTTCGTTGGGCAACCCCGGAATAAGCTCCTCGCGCTCGTTGTTTTCTTTGAGTCCTTCGACCACCGCCATTCTCTTGTCCTTAGTTGAAAACGAACGAGAAGTGAAAAGCAGGGTCTTTAGATGATTAATAATTGGAGGTGGGTGGAGTGAGGAGTGAGCTAAATATTTGCGGCAAATCCGTTTGAATGAAATTAAACAATGAATAAAAGTGACGTAATTGAAGTTGAAATGGTTGAGAGTGTGTGATTGGTTTATAATTTTTAGGGATGAATGAGTGAGCGAGAGAGAGAGTGTACATAATAATAAGAAGGAACGGTTCGTGCCGATGGCCAACACAAAAGTATGAATGATTGTGGCAAGGTGAACCCCCCAAATGGACTTTTTGTAATTTTTATTTTATATTTTTCGGCTAAGTTGATTAGTTGGGGGAGGGTCTACTTTATGCGAGTGATGCGTTTGTGGCTGCAGATGCTGTTTCCATCAAACTCAAAGCTAAGCATTTCTTGGGTGACAATGGATGGGTGGAAGATATGTGCTGTGTGTTTGCTTCTCCGCATGAATTTAATGCCTTTTATGGTCTGCGCCGTGCCTTGTTTTTCTTAATTTAACACCAGACAGCGACTGATCGCAACATCCCAACTATAGCCCCACATTATTCTGTAACACACCTTCTTTACCACTCCTCATCATCTTCATTTTTTTAACTTACAATCAGTAATAAACAGTAACCTAATTTGATGTAAACATGTTTTTTCTTTTTCTTTTCAAATACGACGTTGCCAAGATAATAATACAACTTCACTGTAGTCACCCACCTGGATGGATATAGTATTGTCTTTTCACAACCTCACCGTCTACCCCTCTGAAAGGGATTCTCACCTTCACCGTTTACAAAGAATACTACTTTTTTGCACTTTTAAAAAAAAATAAGAATGTGTAGTTTAAAGCGTGAACAATGCATAAGCTCACTTATGTTGAAATTAATCTTATTACTGTTATTATTTGAAGAATGGAGATTGTCAAAATAAAACTCTATTTAAATTGTTATGTATAATAGTCTTATATTTTTAATTAAAAAAAGGTACAATTCTCAACTATAAAACAGAACATGTCCTTGGTGCCTAACTGTGAGATGGAGATTGCCTGTTATTATAACTTTTAGTCCTTTTTATAAAGCGATCCACTTCTCAATATCTGTCAATGTGCACGATGAAGCTCAAGCCGACGGTGATGATAAGAATTTATCATGTTAGGAACGTATGAACAAATAGTTTCATTCAATATTTATTTATTATATGAGAATTTATAATATAAATTTAATTATAAAATCTATTTCAAAATATCTTAACAAATTCATTAAAATAATTTAAAAATATATATACATCATAAATGATTCCATGAGTCAAAATCAGCCTTAATTAACATAATGTTCCCAATAGATAGATTTGGCGTTGGGAGGTCAAAGGATATATCACACAACGAGCAATTCTGGTAAGCTGTGATTTGTGAACACTTGTCACTTATAAGATATTACATATATCTATTAGAAATTTATCTTAATAAATTGTATATAAAAACAATTGAAATAAAATTTTAAAAAATTATATAAAATTATAGAAACTATTTGAATTGAATCCCAATCTATTTATGGGTAGGACAGTATCACCAAGAGACAGATTTGGTGTGGATAAGTTGTGATTTGTGAACACTTGCGGCACATATATACAAAAGCAAAAAAAATCCAAAAGCAGATGAACATTGATAAGGAAAAGAAATAGTAGAAACAGGAAATGAGGTCCGTGACTATTTTCTCTAGTTCCTACCGTTGCTTTCAAAGGAAGATAAATAAACTAGTTTTTACTCTCTACAAAACTTACAATTCAATTAAGAAACTTAAATTTTAAAATTATTAAATATACTATATTTGCTCATGTAAAATCTATCTTAACCTGTGTAATTGTTAGTTTGGTTAACGAAAATTAATGTGTATTGAATAATAATATAAGAGCCTAGTGTAGCACTGTATGATACATTTTGATGTGTACTGGACCCAATTTGACAGAATCATGAAGTTATCCCTTAAACCTAAAGCATTCATGTTCATTATGAAATGACAGGGAGATCATGCTTTTGGGTTGTACTTGTAGGCATAAGGATCATTTTTTAATATATACTTACCCCTATCAAAAAGCTAACATCGAAAGTAACTAAACCGAATCTTTTGACATTTGTTGATTCCTTTTGGTGGCAAAATTTTGGATGGCTACAAACTCAATTGTGTCGAAGTCAGCCCCATTTTTCCGTGATTAACACCTTCCAAAGCTTTATCAAGTACTACTCTTTCTTCCAACAAACAATAGCCAGAAAGTAATAGTGAGAGTTGTTAAATTTAATATTAGAGAATAGCTTGAAAGTATGAATATAAACTAATAAAATTTAAAATATTTTTTATAAATTTTTTATTTTAAACTAAAATTAATTTATTATCAAGATTAATATGTATACATAAAAATAAAAAAATAAAGAAGATGAAAAAACAACTTTAAAAAAATTAATAAAAAATTACTTTATTAACTACTTTCAGAAATATATCTTAAAGAATATTTTTTATTAATGACTCTTAGAAGTATTGTTGTTCTAAAGTGATTTCTATTAATTGTGTTAACGCTCCAAAACCCAATTTTAATGTAATGAAATATTTACTTTGGTCTTATAAATTATAAGTGTTAATCATTTTAATTTTTTAAGCGGTGAAAAAAATAAAATAAATAAAAAATTCAAAAGTGATAATTATTTCAAAAACGGTGGGCATCGCTGTCACGAGTGAGTGGATTGTGAACGATGATTTAATCGCAGCATAGAGTGAACAAGAAACAAGTTGGGAGTGTCTGAATGTGAAGTGATTTTACTTTTGTCTTACCCGATATGAAAACAAAGGTTCAGAAATCAAACATAAACAGAATGTGAAACCAAATGCGTCAACGCATGTGATTAACAGCAGTCAACTTAGAATTGTGTCACTCGTGCTGTAAAATGTTTTTTTGGTCATCATAATGTTCAAATAATAATGACTCGTGCATGAGAGATATTATACAAGTACTTTTTATTTTTTATTTTTTAATGTACATGTATCTTCAAAACTTACTTGTAAACAAATAAACATTTTTTCTGATTTATTTTAATATTTGTACCTTTCTTAGCCACCCTGAAATGCTTAGTCACTATTGGCCTCGTAAGAGAGTTTATGAGTTGCAAGAGTCAAGCAAAGTAAATCACTGTGAATTATCATTATTGCTCACATAATATCACAAATAATACTTCACAAAGACCAAGTAAAATAGAATATACAAGAAACACACATAAGACAATGGAAACCTAAAACAACAAATATAATCACTGCACAATTTTTTTTTTTATCTCAACTAAAAAAGTATTTCATCTATAGTTAGAACAGTGAAATATTTTGGTGAATAATATTTATAAAATATTGTCCAAATAAAAATATAGATATAATGATAGAATGAGTGATTTGATAATTAAAAAAAATGTAAACCTAAGTTGTGTGAGTTTTTTTATATATAAAAAATGATAAAATTATCAAAATATAGTATTTTAAAATTTTATAAAAATATGAAAACTATTTAAAAATTGCACGTGACAATTTTAATATAGTATCAAATTTTATATTTATGAACTTTTTGTTATTACATAAGTATTTATGCAAAAAATTATCAATATTAATTTTTAAACTCAATATTTTATAATTTTAAAAAATAATTATTTTAATAAATATATTTTACAAATTTAGTATATAAAAAAATGAAACCAAGCAAGTGTGGAAGAAACACGGGCATGGTCTGAAATGGTGTGGGCCGTTAGACCCCAACGGCCCCACTCACGTGAACACTTCAATTGATGTCAGATGAGACGGTAAGCTCGGCCTAACAATTTTATGTGTCACGAGTCTTCTTTAACAATTCATTCGCCCCACCCAACACATTTTACTCTTTTATTTTACTAGTTATAAAGTTGCATTGTTTTTTTTAAATAAAAATTTAAATAATGTCATGATTCGTATACTTATTTGGATTTGTAAGTTACTTTTTACGTGTAAAAAAAATTGATTTAAAAAATTATAAATCAATTTTTATATGTATATTTATTTTTAATTTAGTCATTTATGTTAAATTTAGAATAGACAATAAAGTAAAAAATTAAATTGAAAGTAAATATAGTATGAATATTAGTTTATAAATTTTTTTATATGTATAGACTAATTTACAAAATTTTACATATAAAGACTAATTTATAAATTTGAGTCAAAAGTATTATAATAAATTTGTGATAGATTTTTAGTTTGTATCTTAATTTTAATGGTGTTAGAAGAGTGGATAAAAGTATAGATAAATACATTAGTAATTTTATTGCTAGTAACACTGATGAGGGTGCATTCGAAGACAAATAAAGTTTTAATGAGGGATTGAGATTTGGGGTAGGTGAGTGTGGATGCAGGTGAGAGTGAGGGTGAAGACGATGAAATAATTGAAAAGAGAAGAGAATTAAGTAAAGTTTGTTAAGAGTTGATTGAGTTTTAGGAATAAGAAGCTCAGAAAAAAAAAACTTTGACCTCTTGAAGTTTACACAGAAAAAGAATAAAGATAGTAAAATTAGAGATGGAAACAAAGGTAAAAGAGAGGATGTGGATAAATTGCAAAAATCAAGATACAAACTAAAAGTATATAGCAAATTTATAAAAATACTTTTGATTCATATTTGTAAGTTAGTTTCTACGTATAAGAAATTTGTAAATAAATCCTCATACTGCATTTATTTTTAATTTAGTTTCTTAATTATTTAACGTCATTTATTCTAAAATTAACGACAAGAACTAAATAAAAAATAAATGTATATATGAAGATAGATTAATAAATTTTTTACCTATGAAGACTAACTTACAAATTCGAGTTAAGTATATGGACTAAAATATCATTTAAACCTTTAATAAACTATATATACTACAAAAAAAAATATGTTTTTGTGGCGGTTAAATTTTATGATTAGCAGCGATTTTAACTGTCTCTAAGTATTTTTTTAATGATTATGAAACTGAAGTTAAAATTGACGATATAAAACTAAATTTGTGACGGTTTTGAATCATCACTAAATTTTTAAATTTATGGCAGTTATTTAGCGGCATTTTTGAACTACTGCTAAAATTTTAAATTCAAATTTTAACCTGTGCGCGACATTGTTTTATTTTTGGCGGATAGTGTTTTATTTTTAGAATGACAGTGCTCTATTTTTGGCTTCTACACTTTTATTTGTTTTTATCACCTACTCAATTCTTTCTTTTACTATTTGGGTTCACATTCCATTTATTTTTTTAACATCACAACATATATATATTATATAATTTATAGTGTAGAATCATTGGAAAAAAGTCATTTTTGGAAGAAGTAAAAATGATAGTAGAAGATTGCCAAAGTTGTCACGGTTGAAGAAGACATTTTGGCGGTGGCGGTAGGGATAGCGATGGCGGTAGTGGCAAAGAGAATGGTGAAACTCATGAGGCCAAGTTAGAGATGAATGATAACTTTGAGTGAGTGATGAAAAATAGAAAAAAAGTTGTGTTTCTTACATTTTGTTATTGTGAACTGATGCTAAATCTCGCATTTTTTTTATGATGGTTACGTAAAATCGCCACTAAAACTCGTCTCGCCTTTTGTGCAGCGATTTTGCAAAATCACTACTAAATTTCACACTTTTTTTGCGGCGATTATGCAAAATCGCTATAAAATCTCACATTTTTTGTAACGATTACACAAAACTACCACTAAATTCTGCATTTTTTACAGCAATTACATAAAAAGCCACAAAATCTCACATTTTTTTGCAGTAGTTACTAAAATTGACGTTAAATGTTATTTTTAAAATGATTTATTGACAATTATTATTAACTGCTGCTAATAAACTGTCGCTAAATGACGTATTTCTTGTACTGATAAATTTATTTAAAATATGAAAATATAATATTTTATTACAATTTTTAAAATATAATAATTTATATTCAAATTTGATAAATTAATTTTAAAATAAATATGAAAGAATTATTTTAATTTTATAATCTGTATATCTAATTTTTTAAATTAGTTTCTAAATTTATATATAAAAAAAATATTATAATAGTTTTTGGTATGTCAATTTAAAGAACACTACCTTTTGGGTTAGGTATTAAAATATTAAATTGGTCTGTTTTATTTTAAAGCAAGAACTACATAAAAGGTAAAAAGAGAACATAGTTTTTATTTTACCATATTTTAAAAAAAAATTATGTGTTATCATGACATCACAATTTAATATTGTATTACTAGTATTAGAAGACACTCATATATTTTTTTATCATGAAGTGTTGTTGGAATTATTTCTCTAACACATATTCAGCCATACTTTTAACTTTTGTCGTACTTGAATTCACTTACACAATTCTAACTCCGTTTATGCATAAAATTGAGTTTCATTTAACCCGTGATTCTCATACATTGGATAGTTTGGTCGTACTTAATAAATTATTTAGCTATCCTCTTATCACTTTCATTTGATCCATGAAATATTATTAAATTTTTTTTAGAAGTAAACAACTTGATAGAGAACTATAAAAGTTAACTTTAATTTATTAAAGAATATAATTTATTTTATATTTAATTTACTTTTATAACTAATTAAGAAGTTTATTGAAAAAATGAACTATATAATCCAACCAACGTTTAAGCACGCGCACACACAACACACGAGTTATGTGGTTTGACAACATTTTCAAGTTAGATATATACACTAATTTCTAGAATATTTGAAACTTGTTTTAGAGAAACAATTTCTGCACGTAAAGCAAAAGGAACACTTATGCAGTATACTTATGCAGTATGCAGCACGTAGAAATTTCTAAACGTCTGGGATATCTTGCTCTTGTTGCCAAATGACATGGCATTATATTGATTACCGCGACGAGAAATTGCTTAAAAGTTGACGAGTAGGTTGGATCCTTAAAAATGTTTCTGTTGTACCCAAAAAGAAAACCCATAAAGATTGCATATGTATGTTAATTATGCTTCATATATCCTGCTATCTACATCATGTTGAATGAATCAGTGGCTAGACACCAAGCTTAGGAACTGTACATCTATTAACATATCTATAAAGTTTTGAGAAATTTCCAAAGTTTCAGTTGGGTTGTTAAATATACTTGAGTTGCAAGCTTTAGAAAGATACTTTAAGACTTTTGTTAACACATGCGTATTTCACCTCTTTGTTTAAGGGTGAAAATCAGGGAGGAAAAAAATATGTGCGATGAAAAAAAAAAAAAAAGATAAAAAAAAAGAGGCTAAGTTGTTTAATTTTTTTTCAAAAACAAGTTGTTAACTTTTCTTGAACTTTATCTGTATTCTTTGGCTAATTCTATTTCTTTAATCACGGAATTTTATTTTTTTTGCTTCCACAAAGTTTGTACATCATGCATTTACTTTGGAATGTTATATTCTTCCGTTCTATACCAAATATGAACAGACCTTGATTAAAAAGTTTAAAAAGCAATATTAAACATAAAGACATTTTTACTTTATAAAGCAATACATAGTGTCCTATTCTTAAAAAAAAAAACATCATGTGAAAGGATAAGTTGGCATTTAGAAATTTTGATATCATATTCTTTATAATTTCTTGCTTGTAAGGGAACAAAATATGTTAGTGGACCTCTGTCACTTTTTCTTTCTTTTCTTCTTTGTTTCCCTCTCATGTGGATTTTTTTTTCACTTCTCTCTCACTTCTTTCTCTTTAGTTTCTCTTCTCAATTTTTCATGAACAAACACAAACAAGAAAAAAAAAAAATTATTCACATTAATGAATGACATATATATATATATATATATATATATATATATATATATATATATATATGATATTTGATGAGTACTAAAATCAATACAACTTTTTAAAAAAGATTTAAATAATTTTTTTAATTGTTGTATAACGCAAGTCATTGCACATCCAATCCCTTGAGAAAAGAAAAATCCCCCCCAAAGATATTATTTTCTGGTTATAACATGTAAGTATGTCCAAAATTCAAACCTTATGCATCAAGTGATGGCCAGGTGGCCCAATGACCAATTCCTGTCCCAACAAATAAAACATAACGCGTCCACAAACATATTTTCTTTCCCTGTACTCAATTCACGAAGAAAAATGTTACACAGACATCTAATATCTACATATTCAGACTATATACATGTATATATTATGATAATAAAAAGAGAAAAAAATTTAAACGAGAGTGTTGACATTATTTAAGCGTTTATAAATATGAAAAAAAAAGGACCTTTTTATAAAAAGACATAACACCTTCCTCATGACGAATCTGATGCATCTAGATTCACCGATGGTTACTCTATTTCTTGAAACCCACCAAGTAATTAGCTGAAAACTTCACTTGTTCCAATCATTTCAGTTCTTACGATACACGGTGCATAACTTTTAGTTAACTACCACGGTAGCTTCTGTGAGAATCTTGCGTGTTTTCTCTTCTATATAAGCACTAGTGACCCACTTCCTTTTTGCATATCATCAATGATCGAAAGCAAGCTAGCTTCAACAAGAACAATTATGGATAAGCAGAAATCTTCACGAGTCATTAGACAATTAAAGAGGTCTATAAAGAAACTGAAGTCTCTACTACACACTTGGCGAGAGCCTTCCGTTGTATCAAGAAGTTTAAAACAAAGATGGTTGAGGTTGTTCAATAAACGAATGGGCATGCAAAGGTTCCTTGTGGATGAACAAATCAATAGGGATCGTATGGTACAATATAGAAGAACATTAAGTTATGTTTCGGAAGATGATATTGATAAAAGGGCAGAGGTTTTTATTGCTAACTTTCGGCGTCAGCTAAGTTTGGAGAGAATAATTTATTCGGAGCCGAAGTATTATATAAGAGAGAGCTTTTGTGACTAATTAGGAAATGGTTCAACTAGTTATTATTCTCCAAGTTTTTTATGTATGTAATGTGTCCAAATTGGTGTGTTAAGGTTTGTTTTAAATAAGTTAAGTTTGCTTACCTGCATTGTATTTTTGGCTAGCTATCATAACAAAATGTCATTTTATCTAGCTTTGTCTAAGTTACTTTAGATAATAAATAACTTCATTTTAAGTAGATTAATGAAGTTAAGATATTGTATTAAAAAAATGTATTATTAATTTATTTATAAATAAATGTACTTAAGATGAAGTTGTTTATACCATATATACGATAACTTACACAAACCTTTTTTTTACGTCTCCTTTGTCTTTATTAGTATATGTTTCTTCTGCTTCTCTTGCTAGACGACACAACTGCTACTTGAAGGTGCATTTTTTTTTCTCACCAGGCAAATTGAAAGCAATAAAAATTGTAATGAACCGCGCATTTATTTTTATATGTTTTAAGGTTTTATGGATTTGTCCACATGAAAATTTACTAATAGAAAATTAACTACTAATTAAGATGCAAAAAAATATAAAATAAAGAATATACTGAGCTTTTGCTGACTACCAATAAGTTTTAGGTGTCATGAATGTACTAAGCCTATTTTTGGGCTTGAATGGCTACAGATATGTCAATTTCATAGTAGTTAGTCACTGTATATATAACTGGACAATTAATTGAAAAACAAAAAATGATAATGTTTCCAATGGCGTTCTATATACTTTAGAGAGCTTATTTGTTTTATCGTTAGAAAGTCTTTTTTTTTACTTTTTATGAAAAATATTAATTCTAATAAAAGAAATGTAGTTAAGAATAATTATATACATATCTTTTTTACTCCATTTTCGTATCTAAACCCTTTTCTTCTGTGTTTGCTTTTTCTTCATAATATGCTTCACTTGGTTTGGTGGTCAATGACAGTTTGAAAAGCACCAGCCAATGCTCTCACCTTATTCTTCCTCGCCTCCAATAGCTTGCCAGCTGTTTCTTCAATCACGTCATTCGATATTGGGGACTCCTTCTTATTTCCTTGCACTCCACCACCTACTTCTATTTGCTTTGACTTTGTTGACTCCACTTTTGCTTCTTCTTGTTCATCTTCACCATGTTCTTGTTCTTCCGTCAACTTATTAACCTCTTCACTTGTCCCTTCTTCAACCCCTTCCTTCTCTTCCTCTACCACTTCCTCATTATTGATCTCATTCTTGTGGTCTTCTATTTTAACCACACCTAATTCACTTAGGTGATCTTCTTCTGTTATAACCCCACCTTCTTCTCCTCCTTCCTTTTCTTTTACCTCAACTTGTTCTTCAGTAATTGAATGATCAATCACTAGATGACTCTCGTTAGTGTTGCTTTCATCTTGGTTTGTATTGTCATCCTCTTTTTTCTCTTCTTTTACTTCTTCTTCTTCTTGTTTTAACTCTGTAGGAATGACCTTGTCATCATCATCTTCAACATGAGGCTGATCAGACTCCTCAAGCTTTTGATCATTCTCATGATCATGTTCATCTTCAGAGTTAACCAAACGAGGTGGGATATTTTCAACCTCATTCAATTGTTCATTTTGATTTTCCACTTTTTCAACCTCTTCATCTATAGCTTCTTTAACTTCTCCAACCTCTTCATTTATAGCTTCTTTAACTACTGGTTCAGTTTCAACACTGATAGTAGCTTCGGTGGTTTCGGCATTACTACTTCTCTTTGTAGCGCTGGTTGAGATAGCAGAAGCATGATCACTATTTATTACCTTCTTAGTAGTTGAAGTAGAAACACTGGGGCCACTTTTCCTACCGCTTTTTGCAAGTAGTGATTGAGTTTTTCCTTCTTTTGGAGTCTTTGAGAGCCTCTCTGAAATGGGTTTGGAAGGGTTAGTCGTAGAAGTAGTAGTTTTAATTGGAGCACTTGAAGATCGAAGTGGTAGGGCTCTATCTCGTGGGCCAGGGGAAACAAGGGCTTTGTGTTGTCTTGAAAGAGAAGGGTGGTGTGTTTGTTTTGGTAACCTTGAAGGTGATGGTGGTTTGTCAAAAGATCTTCTTCTATTTAAAGTGGCCCTACTTAGAGCGTCATTCTTGGTTAGTTTGAAGGAGTGGGACTCAAGACGAACTGAGCTAAGTGTGGGCTTCAGATAGTTGGGGACTTGTTTTTCAACTGATGGGCTTGATGTGGGCTTTTCCGGAGTGGTTGGTGTGGACTTGGTGGTGGGCTTTTTGGTGCTGGTGATGGGAGAATTAGAAGATTGGACCTTCTTCTCCTTCCCTACAATGCCAGTCTCCTTTGCTTTTGTTGCCATATATGTTTAGGTGTCTATGCTAAGAATTTGTAGAAAACGATCTGTGTGTAATGTACCAAAAGAAAAAGCAGCAGCATGTTAAGGCAACGGTTCTCATTTAAATGGGATATTAATTAAGGGTATTGTCTCAATATCCTAAGTAAAGACTAACTAAAAATTAACTCTCAATAAAATAGATTATTATTATTTATTTGGATTGACCTTTTATAAATGACATTTTAATGAATTGAATTAAAATTTTTAATCTAATTTAAACTCACAAAAAATAATATTTTAAAAGAGTAAATTTAAATATTTTTTTTATAATTTTTAACAGACTTGACCCGCATCAGAGTTAATAGGATCAAACTAAAAATTTAAATGAGATATTAATTAAGGGTATTGTCTCAATATTCCAAGTAAAGACTAACTTAAAAATTAACTCTCAATAAAATAAATTATTTTTCTATTTAGATTGACCTTTTATAAATGACATTTTAACGAGTTGAGCTAAAATTTTTAATCTAATTTGAACATGCAAAAACAATATTTAATACGGGTAAAATTTGATTTTTTTTAAGTACGCTTTAGCAGACTTAACCTCATCAAACTAAAAAATTAAAATTTAATCGAAGCTCAAAATTTAAAGTTCAAATTTTGTATTTTATTGGATAAATTTGAGCTCGTCCAGGAGAAACAAACTCATTACTAGATTTAACTTTTTTTGGGATATGTTTTTTTTTTTCCTGCATAAAGATAGATAATATGATTTTTATTATTGTTAAAAATTTATGAGTTTCAAAAAATATGACGTGTCTTATTTTTTATTTGATGGGTCAACTCATTCTTTAGGTAGAGTTTTGTTAGAATTTCAACATTTAAAATCATAAGTGGAAAATGAATTGTCAACATTTTTCTAATTTTGTAAACTTGATTTATTATGCAAAACCAAAATATTTGGTATGACTCTTCTGAAGGAACTAGGGCAACTTCTTGCATAAAAATTAAAGCAGGTAATTAATGTATATTTGGAAATAGTAAACAAAAAATTGAAATATACGTTACACAATGTGATAAGAAATCTATCAGAAGGTAACAGGGTTTAATTTAATCACGTCAGAATCTGCTAGATGATACACACATAATCTCAACTAATTAAAATCACAATTACGATAAATGGTCAATTGTTTTGATATAACAACACGTTGTAGTTGCTCCACCATCACACCACGTATTAGCTGACACTAATTCAGAAAATTAAATGTAGCCACGCATGGATTAACATGAAAATGTCTATTTCAACTTTATCTGGCAAAAAGGATAGCACATCCTAATTTCCCATTTCCATGGTGTTCTTTTTTTATTTTGTTTTTTCTTTTCTGTGCTTGTAAATAACAAATATATAAGAAAGTCCACCATTATTGCACATTTCCAAGCCCATTGATGCGTATCCATTGTTCTTAATGAGAAGAAAACTATCTATTTCAGTCAGAATAATTGTTTTAAGAATCTTATATTATCGGGTTTCGTCATGACATTAATAAAAATATATATAAATAAATGATTTTATCAAAAATTATAACAAGGGAGAATTAAGAGCATTAATTATTATAATTTCCAAATAGTCTGTTCGTTTATTTTTAAATGTCAGTTAAAACAATGCTCATGAGATGTCCGTTAGCATTTTTTTTTATTGTTTTGACAAATTGATTATAGATGACAATAAGATCAAGAAATAAAAAAACAATGATATGATGAATTGATCATCATGTAGGATACTTTTAACAAAATCAATGTTGCTTCAATGCGCAAACAAGAGAAGAAGAACAACTAATGGATCGTGTGACCCGATGATTGACTTACATTTTTTTTATACGAGGAGAAGCAAGCAATATTCATGAACTTGTGCAAATCAAACTCAATCAAAAGAAGCAATCAAATAAAAAGAAAGAGTAAAATTGCAACAACCAAAGCAGGATTCAGGTTCAGAAAACGTACCTTGATAAAAGAAAGTTCATGGAAGAGTGAATTTGTGGGCACAACAACAAAATTGGTTTAAAAGATGAGAATGTATGAAGAAAGAGGTAAAACTAGAAGATAAGATTGATTGGAACATAAAATTCAGAAAACAGGGTGTTTGGGAGGCCTAATAATATCATCAATGAAGCGCAAATTACGCACAAACTCTTAAAGCAGTGATGGTGTTTGTGAAGGCAGTGACGGGGTTTGCATTTCAGGCCATTGAATCCAAACAATAAAATGTTTTATTTTATCAAACAAAGCTGTGAATAACCGGAACATGTGGGTTAAATATTTGACCTTTTCATTTACAAAATCAACGGATGAAAAAACTGTTTTTTTTACTCAGTAATTGCTATTTATTTGACCCTTTTAATTAAATTACATAAATTAAGAAACTTTATTAAAATTAATCAATGGGTTATTTTAAAAAATTCAATTATAACATTTAAAATTTATCCTTATTTAAAGTCAAACCTTACTATCATATTAATTATTGAAGAAGTAAACATGTTTAATATTTATAAATGAACAAATATATATAAATAATAACAAATACTTCTAAAACTCTATGAATGATCTTACATAAAAAATTATAAAAAAAATAATATTAGCAACCATCTTGGGCCGAGCCCAACTGGAGATTGATTATGTAGTGTGGATGTTTACATGGTAAAGCCGGTGAAGTATGGTGTCATTTGGCAGAAGCACCATTCGAACCATGTTGTATTCGATGTTTTTTCCGTTAATTTTGTCGTATATGTATTCTGTGACGTGAGAATTGAGAAAGTTCATTGTCTTCTATTTTTCTTTTTTATTAATGGCTGAGAACGTCCATTCTCATTTATTATAAAATATACACACCTAATTGAAGAAATAAATTAAAGAAAGATACAAAACTGTAGTTAGAGAAAGAGACATGTGGAATTTACTGTATCATATTGGCATTCATAAATTAAAAAAATAGCATGGCCTTCAACTTTAAATACTGGCAAGTAGCCGGCAATGCAGAAAAATAATTTTATCCTTTTACTTACAAATGTATAAGTTTCTTGGTTGAGTAACGCTTTTGGGTGTAATTTTTTACACGCAATCTTCACAAATTCAATGTTTTTTCCGTATAAAGTTATATTAAAAGTTTTATAAAAAAAATATTTTTCATTGTTCTATGGTAATATACGTTATCCAATACTCAAGAAACTAAGGTGTCATTTTAATTTAATTTGATTTAATTGAATCTTGCTTCTTGGGTTGTCCTAATCAATGATTATGGAACTCGATTTTATGTGGTTTTATAATTCTTTCAAGCAAATGGGAAATCTCCATTATGGGGTGACCGCGTTAGGGGCTTAGGTTAACACAAACAAATTTCCAATGAATGGGTGGCAATTGTTTGTGGAGCACCACCAACCACAACCAAACGTGTTGGCCTTGAAGCAATGGTTTTGTTGGTGAAGAGAGCTTTTGAGCTGCAAGTGTTGGCTAAACTAATCCCACGAGTTGATGAGTTGAGGCTTACCCTTAAAGCCTCACCACACCAATAACTATTTGGCTAAGGCCAACATAGTGGACGAAGCCAATTTGTCCATTATTATTTGGTTTGATTTAAATGTTTTGTTGAAGAATAATGAATGCAATGAATGGTCCAAATTGACCACTGCCAACCCCACCAATTCCTTTTGTGGGTTTTTTTTTCTCTTCTTGTGATTAATTAGCCTATGACGCTATGTAGCCAGATAGGCCTTAAGCTTATCTAAATCTTTGGCAAACAAACAATACCCAAAATAAAACAAAGTATAGCTAACAAAGGGTTACATCACTAAGTGGCAGTGGTGGAGGAATGAGTATGTGCCATCCCCTCCATGTGTCACACTTGGCTTACATGCAAACAGTCCAACTTTAGCTTATGTTTTTCTTTTGGTCGGAAAATTTTAGCCTTTTTTTATGTAGTCGGGGAACAAACTTTACCTCATGTGTTCTTCCTAATTTTTTATGTTTGGGTTTGTTCTGCCAATTGATTCTTATAATTTCATTGAAAAAGGCACTGCTTTCTTAAACAAAGCTTTGATAATCAGTTTCCCATAATAATTGCTTCTGCTACATAGACAATGGTCCCGTTTACTATTTGTAGTAGTTAAGTCATGAGGGTACCGATAACTTTGACTACTTTATAAGACACCCATATTTATTTAATGCGTCTTCATAATCCGCGTCTTTAATATCATTAGTTAACAAATAATTTTTAATTAAAAAATTGTATATTCATATTATTTAAACCACAGATTTTTTCAATATTCTCTTTGAGTCGGATAAAATTATCGTGACTATTCAAATTTTTTCAATTAATTCATGTGTTTTAGTGATCAAAATATGAAATTTAAAAAAAAATCACAATTCAAAAATTATCGTTATAAAATTTGAAATTAAATTTTTTATTAAAAAAATATTATTAACAAATTTTTAGTTCTATATTTTCATAATTTTTTCTAAATTTTCATTTTTTATATGATAATTTAAAATTTCATATTTAAATTAATTTTCCTATTAATTGGCATTTTTCTTATTAAATATCTTTGAATGTATTAAATATCAACCTCCTGATGATTGCCATAGTTTATTGTGTAATGACTATTGGTTTGTCTTTGTTTGTAGGGTTCTTCTTTAATGTTTTTGTTGGAGCTCAACCCTCCTAACCAAAAAATGAAATGATTTTATTGATCGACTATTTCTTTGAGCAAGCAAGTCTTACCATTTTTTTTTTATTAAAACAATAGAATCAATGCTTTAGAGTTACTGATTAAAATGTTAAAATTAAAAATTTTATTTAAAAATGTGATAATACATATTTATACTTTTTAAAACATCACACTATGTTTTTTTTTATTAAAATATAACTTTTCAATAAAATATTTTTAGTTAGGCAAGTCTTGTATAACATATAATTATCTTTTAATACGATGAACAACCATTGAATTAAATTATTGTATTATTATATTATAGTATACCAAAATTATTATTTATTTTAAATAAAAAAATCCCGTTTTAAAAATTAAATTAAAATTTTATACACAAGGAAATATAAAAATAAAAAGGCTGGCTCAATTATAGGAGGCATTTCAACTATAGTTCGCAGTGATTTAACCATAATTTTACTTTATTTATAAAGTTTGAGAATGCTTTTATTCATAATAAATATAATTTAATTGAACTTTTAATCTTTTAAATTTTACTTTTATTTTTAAAAATGATATACTTTTTTAAATTTACTTATTGCATCATAGTGACATGGTATATACCTAATTATATAATGTCAATAATTATATTAAGGGAATAGATATTTAATATATTTAAATACATGTCACATCGTTATTATATATTAATCAAGATTGTTTTAAAATATATAATTTTATAAATAAAAATTACTATAATTTTATAAATCAAAAGTATAATTTAATTTTATGATTAAAAATTTTTAAAATTATTTCTCCCTGGTTATGAAGAGAACGAGATGATGCACATGTATATAATTAAAATGATAGCTTATATTGTAACTTAAAAAAGTGATATATGATATACAACTGTTTAGATATTAATATTAATAGTAATAAATAGATTGCAATTTAATGTAACGAAATTATTGACAGGTTGATTAGAAACAAAAGATGAAGCAAATAATACATGTGAAACGTGTAACTATCATGTCATTATCAAAATGACGAAGAGGAAAATGTTTCGTCATTTTCTATTAATTATGATGATTCTCGTGACTGTCATGAAGCATGATGAACAATGTTAATGCATGTATGAGTAATTTTTTGTTAATTACTTTTAATTAATCGTGTATGAGTAAATTATCATCTTAATTTTTTAAATATAGATTTCGATTGTTTTTATTTAAAATTTTATAAAAAGCAATAGAATTAAAAATAGTGGGGTAGAAATAGGTGAGGGAAAAGCTTTCAGATTCATTCCCCTCAGAAACAGAATTAGGAATTAGGATCACACTCTTAATTCTTTTCGTGTTCCCACACGTTGGTGGCTCGTAACAAAGCTTCTTTGAATCTGACACGTTACTCAATCCTAGCCCTCCATCACTCCCATTCCTACATCAACGGTCCAGATCTTGCTCCTCTCGCTTTTCAATTAGGACGGCGCCACTACTACCCTTTTCGTTTTTCTTTTCTTATTTTTTTTTTCTTTTTGGTTCCGTTTCCGTAACCATAAATAAAATAAAATAAAATAAAATAATGAGCTTATAATCAAAACAGCTTCATTGGATTAGAGTATTAGACTTTGCTTCTCTCTCTCTTCCTCTCTGCGTATCAAAGTTTCTTCGTAACTCGTTTTTCTATCTTCTCTGTTCCAAGTTTCAATCACAACGCCGTTTAAAAGGTATCGTCCCAATTCAAATTTATCTGCGGAACTCCACCGGAATATTTTTTTAATCTTTTTTCATCAAGCTTTATTGAAAATTTGGATGATTGAATATTTTTTCTGTTTATATATGTTTTTTCGGTTGCATGAATAGATATTTGAAGGATGTTTGTTATGGTAACAGTGATAAATAATATATTTATTTAATTAATTTAGAAGATTTTGTATTTGAAAAAACGGGATGGGTTTGGTTGAACATGAAAATATTAATAGATGTAAGTTTTTTGTGGTGTGATGAAATTATTATGGGGTAGGAATTGTGATTTCTATTTCGGTGAGTATGGTGTGGTTAGTGTTGAGCTTCTTTTCAGCGCTGAAATTGTGGAGAATATTTGATGCACAGCTGAATCCTTTAAAGACCGAAGGACCTTTTACTCTTTTTCTTTTTCTTTTCTCGTTTACTTGTCGAAAGCGATATGTTTTTTGGCTTTGAGGAAATTGATTTCTATATATCTGATCATGGTTTCTGACAGTTGACGTTCATCCTCATTTTATCATGTATTGGTTTGTTTTTCTGTTTTTTTTTTTTTTTCTGTTTCACTTGCTTTTTGGAATTCTGGAAACTTTCGACATGATATGTATCAGCTGTTTGGGTTACTTGATAACACACTTTTGTATTGACTGTTGGATGAACGTCTGTCAGTTTGCTGATTTTCGTGGAATTCTGACCATATGAGATTAGACTTTCTTTTTTTAATTGTTTATCATGTTAATTTGACTATGTTAGTTTATGTATTGAACTTTGTCCTTTATTCGTATTTCTTGTCTTTTACAGCAGTCGTACTTTTCCATGTTATCTGTTTTCTAACTTTTGATATAGGCATATGATTTAATGCCCCCTGTTAGATGTAGTTCAAATTCCATAGGGATGTATTTAATTGAACATGCAAAATCTAAATAATTAGCTCAGTGAATCTATGATGTTTTTCTGAGAAATAAATCTCCGAGGATGAATTTGGCATGAACATTGGTTATTTGTCTCAATGATATTTTCCTTTGATTGAATTTTCTAGTCAAAGGGGTTTCTGCGTGCATACAGACATAGCCTGCTTTTACCTCCCAGCGCACAACACAAGCATGTTAACAATGACATTTGTCTCGTGACCCCTGTTTTATCTTATAGAATGCAGAATATATTTCTTTTTCTCCCCTTTCACTTGAATTCCAGCTATTGTATATACTTGCTGTAAGCGTTTTGCTCTGATAATCTGAAGCTCCTCTGTAAGAATCCAAATGAATTATTTCATGCAACTCCAATTATTAGGAAACTATATATATATATATATATGAACTATTTTTTTTTTATTTCAATGCATAAAATTAATCAGTGAAGTTATAAAGAAGGTACTATGATGAAGAAATTTAACTATGGTACATGCTAATTTTGTAGCAGTTTTTGTTCTATTCCTTGTTGGTATCTGAACCTAAATTTATGCACTACGAGTGGCGTCTCTATGGCTCAATCTGACCAGTTTATGTTGAGTCTCGAGTTCTGTATACAAGTCATTACTATCAAGATGCTTGTAAAGTTATTGTCTAATACAATATATATTATACTTTTGACAATCATGTAGCATTATGAGTTTTTGATGATCTGATACACTATGCCAACGTGTTACAGAATTAAGGTATTGATGGATGAGTATTCTGGTAAAAGAGCCATTGATGGGGTGGTAGTCCCTAGAAAGGGGATGACCCATGTGTTCAGAGAGACTGGTAATACTAGAGATCGAAATGGTCAGGTGTGCAGCCGTGTAACTTGCAGTAGCAGAATCAACTCTTCTAAAAGTAGTTCTTCTGAAAAAGGTAAATCTTTGAAACCTTCAACCCGGTCTTCTTCAAGTGGCAAGGAAGCAATTGGAAGCTCCTCTAGAACTTTTTCCGGGACTAGTAGCCCTGTTATAAAGCCTCGGAAATCATTATCATCTCAGTTCGAGACTGATTCATCTGAAACTGGTAGTGTACAGGATGAACCACAAATTTCAAAACTCGTACCTCCCGTTGAAAAATTTCAAGCAGAAGTCGAAAATACAGAGTCTGGTAATGTGATGCCAATGGAAGTAGGAAGCTCTAGTGCAGTATCCAATACAAGATCTCGGAGGAATTTTAATCCAAAACCTGGATTACGTGGTCAAGAAATTAAAAGCAATGGTCCTGTGACACGTGCTGGTACCAGTAGGTATGGATTAAGGAACCTCAGATGCAACTCTATTTCTGATGTCATCCCTGCAGGTTGTTCATCATCAGATTCAACCCTTAACAGAAGGAAGGATATGATAAAAAGAAGAAATTGTGAAGGGGAAAGTAGTTCCACTGCTAGAGGGAAGAAGATGAGTGGATCTTCAGTAGAAGGACGGAATTCTGGTTCCAGAAATGGCTTATCTATATATGATTCAAGAATATCTAGGAATAATCCTCCCCACAGGGACCGGTCAGACAGTAGTGTGGCGTCAGTTAGAACACGAAGACCAATTAGTGGTCATGCCAGGGGAAGGCTTTCTATCGAAGGAAATGCTAATCATTTACCACCTAATGTCATACCTTCTCTGCCTCATTCTGGTGATCTTAGTGCTCCTGGCATATCACATCATACTTCTGTAGATACCCCTTTAAGTTATCCAAGCTCTTACAGCAGATCAGGTACTGGAAGTGAAGAATTATATGGTGTTATGCCTGCATCTCCTCCAGAGTATGGCATTGCACATTCTCTAGTAAATCGGGATAGCTTCCGGCGACGTTACAACATGGGTGGTATTGCAGAGGTAATCTTCATTATAAACATGAGGATTGATTTTTTTTTTCTTTTTTTATCTTGGCCATTAATGTGAGAGCTGACAACTAAATTACCACTTTGTAATTTTTATTTAGGTATTGTTGGCACTTGAGAGGATTGAACAAGATGTTGAGCTGACACATGAGGTAATCCTTGGTTGAAAATTTATTTGACTTAATGTACCAGTTTTTTGACACATTCATTTGTCTTTGCAGCAAATTCTTTTACTGGAGTCCAACTTGTTCCTTACTGGACTAAACTTCTATGATCCACATAGAGAAATGCGATTGGACATTGATAACATGTCATATGAGGTTTGTTAATGTCATATGGTGCTACAATTTAATTTGGTATACTTGTTTGCCTGTTTTCCTCTTTCTTTCTTATAATATCTTCTGGCTTTTGATAGTTTTGTATTACAACATATTTGGATGAAACAGACTTTCAAAACAAGACTTAATTACATTTTTTGGTTCCCTCTTCAATTTGACATATATGCGATTTTGGTCCTCTTGATTTTCTTAAGGCTAATTAAGTTCTACTTTTAAAATCACAAAAATCCAGTCCCTTTGTCAAATTTTTTCTACCTAAACACTCTAAATTTTCATTTATACTCAAAATTTTAATAAATTAAATCAATTAAATTATTTTAAACTTTTTCTCCTTAAAACACACCAATTCAAAAATAAAATATCAGTCAATATAAAAAGTAATCCTTCTTCAACATTAATCTCATATCTTAATTTTTTAAAAATCTTATCAAAATTTCACTCTATTTTTTTTTTACTTTTAAATATTTAAAATTATTTTATATAATAAATTTATTTCGAACCCCTCAAATATTTTCACAAAATATAACTTGAGAATTTTAAGTAAAATAAAATCATTGGAAGAACTAAATTTGCATAATTTTAAAATTATAGAAATTTAATTAGCTCTAAAAAGGTTTGAAATCAAAATTGTACATAAGCATAAAAAATACAATTAAGCTTTGATATAATATAGACAATTATACGGTAATGTTAAGTACTTTTTACTGGTAGTTTGTTACTTCAACTTTGGAGAAGTTTGAAATTTAGCTTGAGTTGCTAGAGATGGCTTTGTGAAGGGATGTTATCTTTGATAGTGCATGCAGTTTTTGTTGTATTTGTTTTTTTTTTTTTTTGCCCTAGCCATTCTCACCTCCTAAAGTTTCTATAAATGACAGCAACTGCTGGCTCTTGAAGAGAGGATGGGTACTGTGAGCACAGCTGTAACAGAAGAAGCACTATCAGAATGCTTAAAGAAAAGTTTCTATCAATCCAATGCAGCTGAGAGTTGCAATGAGGATAAGGATGATATCAAATGCAGCATTTGCCAGGTATTTTTCTAAAGCCTATTGCAGATGATGGACTGATGATCTACCTGAGTACTGTTGGATTTGATTGACAAAATCACAAAATAGGTGTTTGATTCCAGAAGTGCTAAACCAAGTGTCGTTTGACATAAGTGCTGCTGCATTCTATCTAATTGGAACAAGTACTCTTTCACTGTATAGTTTAATGAGCTTTTAATGCCACACGTTACCATCCTTTGCAAACAGGGATACGGGACTAGTCATTGCCTCTCTCAAACTGATATGCTCTCTAAAGCTATTGTTACAATAACTGATTTAGATAAATTGACGTGATTTGTAGGAAGAATATGTAGTTGCAGATGAAGTGGGGAGTTTGCAATGTGAGCACATGTATCATGTGGTATGCATACAGCAGTGGCTACGGCTAAAGAACTGGTGCCCTATTTGCAAAGCATCAGTGGCACCTTCAAATTCATCCTCATCCCATGAATTACAATGTTAGGCAAGACAAGGGAAACTGATTTCTTTGTTCCCCCATTCTGTTAATTTTTTTCATCACTTTTGTACAAAATACAGTTCCTCCTCACTTCTCTTCATATTGGTCATTTGTACATAGCCTATATATTCATCCCAGTTACCCAATAATCCAAGCCACTTTAACTTGTTAAGCTGCGGGTTTAATATCTAAATATCCCTCTTAAGTTCTATTTTTTTTAATCCTTGCATAAGAAACACTAGGGATTTGGAAGAGTAAATGATTGGCGAAAAAGATGCTTTTCTTTCATTATAGTATAACGTTTACTATGAATGAGGTGTTTGGTAACTTTTCAAAACGATATGTTGGAATAAATAATTTTTTGGGGCACACATTTATAGAACTTTTTTTCTATAATTACTGGAGAACAGGTTTCAAAATTAGTTGGACTTAAATGAAATGTTGGAGAATAATCTCACACATTGATAGATTTTAAACAAAATAAAATATGTACACGTAAGAGAGCTATAAGTTTCAAGTGTAAAGAAAATTTTTAATAAATAGTTTCATTAAGCTAAAAGTCAATCATTTTACTTACATTTTTGGACATAGCTTTGCTCAATTAATAAATATTTGAACCATATGCTTGAAGTACATAAAGATTAACACTAGGTTACGACTAATTTAATTTAAGCTGATTGAACTGGAAAGATACAGTAATAGTTACCACATTAATTAAAAGCAAGAAAGCAAGAAAAAGACGCGTTTGAAAAAGAATAGCAAGTTCTAAGAGTTATGATAATTATAGTCGTCTGGTACTTTTGGACACTATCATTTGTCTTCTATTTTTTCCCCCAATTAATAGACAATTATGGATAATTCTTTTGATTAAAATTAAGGTTTGATATCTACCGAAATTATTCATAGCTTGGGACAACTTTCACAGTAGATTCTATTTAACATCTAAAGAAGACTATACGTATACACAACTAGGTTTTCAGGAAAAAAAAATATATATCACAAAGCTCGTAAATGAAAATACCATACCCTAACCCCATTCTCAATTTTATTAACAAAGGGATGGAGGCTATCAAATGCATCGCCATCTATTGGATGTCTAATACACAGGTAATATAGTAACTCATTTTCCAATCTATCGCATTTATTAGTTAATTAAGAAAACTATTGTTGATTGTCAATTAGTTAATTAGTGGCCTAATTAATGATATTCATATAACAACTCATTTTGTAATTCCCTATTACTCAAATTCAATGAATGGTCCACCTTCCGTAACAAATTGTCAATTTTTTCAACACTCGTTGTAATAATCATTATTTTTCTATGTTGATCACTGTAAAGCAATGGTTATCGTAATGCCTTCTTTATAATTTCCACTAATTAATTTTATGCATTGAAATGAACAAAAAAAAGAGTTCATATATATATATATATATATATATATATAGTTTCCTAATAATTGGAGTTACATGAAATATTTCATTTGGATTCTTACAGAGGAACTTCAGATGAATCTGATCAAAACTCTTACAGCAAGTATATACAATAGCTGAAATTCAAGTTAAAGGGAAGGAAAAAATATATTCTGCATTTTATAAGATAAAACAAGGGTCATGAGACAAATGTCATTGTTAACGTGCTTGTGTTGTGCGTTGGGTGGTAAAATCAGCCTATGTCAGTAAGCACGTAGAAACCCCTTTGACTAGAAAATTCAATCTAAGAAAAATATCTGTGCAGTTAACCAATTTTCATGTCAATTTCATCCTCAGAGATTTATTTCTCAGAATAACATCATAGATTCAGATGAACACATCCTTATGGGACAACTACATCAAAGAGGGGTATTAATCATATTACTATATCAAGAGTTAGAAAACAGATGACATGGAAAAGTACTGCCGCTGTACAAAACAAGAAATACTAGTACGGGACAAAAGGTCAAAACATAAACTAAAATAGTCAAACTAACATGATTCAGTCAAAAAAAAGTCTAATCTCATATGGTCAGAATTCCACAAAAATCAGCTACGCTTTTGAGAGTGAATAAACAACAAGTAAACGAGAAAAGAGAAGAAAAAGAGTAAGAGGCATAAACAATTGACTCCAGAAAAGGAGAAAGTCCTTCGATCATCTTTGCATCAAACATTCTCTACACAATCAGAGTAACAAAAAAAAAAATTCGATCATCGTCCAAATATCTATTCATGCAACCGATATTTAAACAAAAATAAATAAAATCAATCATCCAATTTTTCAGTTTAGGTTGTTGCAAAAAGATTAAGAAAATATTCCGGAGGAGTTCAGAGAAATTTACCTGCTAACGCGGTGTGATTGAAACTTGGAACAGAGAAGAGAAAAAGGAGTTATGAAGAAACTTTGGTACGCAGAGAGAAAGAGAGAGAAGCAAAGTCTAATAATCTAATCCAATTAAGTTGCTTTAATTATAAGCTTAGACGATGTTTGTTATAGTAATAGTTATAAATAACATATTTATTTAATTTAATTAATTTAGAAGATTGCGTATTAAAAAAAATGGGATGGGTTTGGTTGAAGATGAAAATATTAATGGATGAAAGTGTTTGGTTATGTGATGAAATGATTATGAGGTAGGAATTGTGATTTCTATTTTGGTGAATATGGTGTGGTTAGTGATTAGCTTCTTTTCAGCGCTGAAATTGCGGAAACCAAGTTTTTGTGGTTGTGTGGAGAATATTAGGTGTAAAGCTGAATCCTTTAAAGACCAAAGACTTCCTCTTTTTCTAGAGTCAATTATCTATGCCCTTTTACTCTTTTTCTTCTTCTTTTCTCGTCTACTTGTCATTGATTCATTTGATTTTGAGGAAATAGATTTCTATATGTCTGATCATGGTTTCTGACAGTTAGCGTTCATCAGATCATGTATTGGTTTGTTTGCTTCTTTTTTTTTTCTTTCTGTTTTTCACTTGCCATTTGGAATTCTGGAAACTTTCTGCATGATATGTATCACCTGTTTGGGTTACTTGATAACAATGACATTTTTCTCATGACCCATGTTTTATCTTATCAAATGCATAATATATTGCTTTTTTTTTTCTCCTTTCACTTGAATTCCAGCTATTGTATATACTTGCTGTAAGAGTTTTGCTCAGATCGTCTGAAGCTCCTCTATAAAAATCCAAATGAAATATTTCATGTAACTCAAATTATTAGGAAACTATAAATACATATATATATATATGAACTTTTTTTAAAAAAAAATTCAATGCATGAAATTAATTAGTGGAAATTATAAAGAAGGCATTAAGATGAAGAAATTTAACTATGGTACATGCTAAGTTTGTAGCAGTTTCTAGATACAAGCGAGTCATCATTGTTCCATTCCTTGTTGAGTCTATGTATGAGTGGAGTCTCTTATGTCTCAATCTGACCAGTCTTTATGTTGAGTCTTCAGTTCTGCATATTGCTATTGTAAAGTTATTGTCTCAAACAATCTATATTATATGCTTTTGACAATCATGTAGCATAATGAGTTTTTTGATGATCTGATACACCATGCCATCGTGTTACAGAATTGAAGCCATTGATGGAAGAGTATTCTGGTAAAAGAGCCAATGATGGGGTGGTAGTCCCTAGAAAGGGGATGACCCATGTGTTCAGAGAGACTGGTAATACTAGAGATCGAAATGGTAACGTGTGCAGCCGCCATACATGCAGTAGCAGAGTGAACACTCCTAAAAGTGGTTCTTCTGAAAAAGGTAAATCTTTGAAACCTTCAAAAAGGTCTTCTTCAAGTGGGAAAGAAGCAATTGGAAGCACTTCTAGAACATTTTCCAAGACTAGTAGCCCCATTATAAAGCTTCAGAAATCATTATCATCTCAGTTCGAGACTGATTCATCTGAAACTGGTAGTGTACAGAATGAACCACAAGCTTTAAAACTCTTACCTCCCTCTGAAAAAATCATCTCAATGGAAGTAGGAAGCTCTAGTGCAGTATCCAAAACAAAATCTCGGAGGAATTTCAATCCAAAGCCTGGAAATGTTCCAGTGACACGTGCTGGTACCAGTAAGTATGCATTGAGGAACCTCAAATGCAACTCTATTTCTGATGTCCCTCCTTCTGGTTGTTCATCATCAGATTCAACCCATAACAGAAAGAAGGATATGATAAAAAAAAGAAATTGTGAAGGGGAAAGTAGTTCCACTGCTAGAGGGAAGAAGATGAGTGGATCAAATTCTGGTTGCAGAAATGGCATATCAATATCTGATTCAAGAATATCTAGGAATAATGCTCCCCACAGGGACAGGTCAGATAGCAGTGTGGCTTCAGTTAGAACACGAAGATCAATTAATGGAAGGCTTTGTATCCAAGGAAATACTGCTAATCATGTGCCACCCAATGCCATGATACATTCTCTGCCTCATTCTGGTGATCTTAATGCTCCTGCCATATCACATCATGCTTCTGTAGATACCCCTTTAAGTTGTCCAAGCTCTTACAGCAGAGGCAGTGAGGAACTATATGCTGTTATGCCTTCATCTTCTCCAGAGTATGCCATTGCTCATTCTCTAGTAAATCCTGATAGCTTCCGGCGACGTTACAACATGGATGGTATTGCAGAGGTAAATTAGAGGAATACTAAAAACACACTCTCTAGACACTTTTCCTCCTAATTATTTGAAAATTATAAAATCACTTAGATTTCACCCTTTTTCAATTTTGAATTAATGTTTTTTCTCCTACTTTGGTAATTTTTATTTAGGTATTGTTGGCACTTGAGAGGATTGAACAAGATGTTGAGCTGACACATGAGGTAATCCTAGGTTAAAAATTTATTTGACTTAATGTGCAAGTTATTTGACACATTCATTTTGTCTTTGCAGCAAATTCTTTTACTGGAGTCCAACTTGTTCCTTACTGGACTAAACTTCTATGATCCACATAGAGAAATGCGATTGGACATTGATAATATGTCATATGAGGTTTGTTAATGTCATAAGGTGCTACAATTTAATTTGGTAGACTTGTTTGCCTGTTTTCCTCTTTTTCTTTCTTATAATATCTTCTGTCTTTTGATAGTTTTGTATTACAAAATATTTGGATGAAACAAGATTTAGTTACTTTTTTTATCCCTTCAGTTTGACATATATGCGTTTCGGTCCTTTTTGATTTTATTAAGCTAGTTAAGTTCTACTTTTAAAATTGTAAAAATCCCGTCCCTTTGTC